AAAAAAAAAAAAAAAAAAAAAAAAAAAAAAAAAAAAAAAAAAAAATGAGCCGGGGAAAGAAATGGCAAACCACACCAGTATCTTTGCCAAGAAAACCCCAAATAAGGTTTACAAAGGGTAGCATACGACTGAAAAACGACTGAACAAGGAGAAAACCTGAGCTCCTAAGGCTCAGTAACACAAATCCTTTACTCAGAATCTAGAGAATGCAAACTAGCAACGTGTAACAGGAAAAAAAAAAAGACAAGATTCTGAAGCACGCCAAACGCAAAAGTTAAAACTACATTTCCCAGCAAAGAACACGCCGGGGAGAGCGTAAGATTCGAGTCCCGAGCCCCTTTCCGCAGTCTTTTTGGAGAGAAAGACTACGTTTCCCAGCAGGCCCTGTAGGTGCGCCCACGCAAGCGTACTAACATTCCCCAGCCCGGGAACGAGGATGATAAAAGTTCAGGGGGGGTGCTGCAGTTGCTGTCGCTGCGGTCTTCATCGCCTCCGTCACAGTTGACTCGTTTTGGCTCGTCCTCGGCAGGTGGGTTTGGGTAGCAGCCATGGGCCTCAGGCAGACCAGGGGAGCAGGGAAGCGGGGAGCAGCAACATCTCTCCCGTTGTGCTCCCCCCATCCTGGGCCAGGCTGTGGTGCCCCAAGACACTAACAGTACGCATGCGCACACTGCGGAGCTCGGGGAAGGGGGGTTACGGGGGTGGAGAGGTCACGCGCCCGCCGCTGAGGGTTCTTTGTTCGCTTGGGATGCGCCTAGTGTACCACGTGGGGAGGCGGCCTTTAGAAGCACGTGGTTGGGGGGGTGCAAAGCATTTAGAGGCACGTGCGTTGGTGCGAGGAGCGGAGTTGGAGAGGCTGCTGGCGAGGGGAAGGAGACCATGGCTTCGGCGGGTATTTCTCCCGAAAGCAATTGTAGTGATAGTAGTGGACATGTAGAAAGCCCCTTAGAGCATTCCTTATTTCAGCGTCACGAGGTTGGTAGTGGGAGTTAATTACTACATTTTACAGATAGTCATAGTTAATAACCTTTTATGTACTGACTTGAAGTTTTGCAAAGTTCTTTTTCCACAGCCACCTTGGAAGGTAGGTAGTCCAAGTATTACCCTGTTTAGTGGAGGAGGTAACAGCATCACAAGGTATCACAATTTGCCCAAGATCCTGGGGCTGGTAGTAAGTAGGAGAGCTGGTCCTGTGTCGGTTCTTCCCTCTTGACACCTCCTTTCTGATCATTCCTGCTGCTTCTGCCCAGGTTTAGGCTGTTATCACTTGAGAAGTGGTTCTCTGGATTGGATACTCCCACCTTTCCTCTACCTCAGCCAGACTAATTTTCCTAAAACACCCCTTTCAGTATGAAAACTCTTGCATGACCCCCTTTTTCTTATAAGATCAAGCCCAAACTCCATCTTTTGGAGTTAAAGGCCCTCTAGTCTGGTTTGATTTAACAGCTAGCCCAAATGAAGAATTTTTTCTAAATGGAGACTTGTGTATGTTAGAAGGTAATGGTGATGAAGCCACTGTAAAGGGAGAGGTTGAAGATAATAATATCACCCACTCCCAAACCCCTTGCTTTCCCCTTATGAAAACTGAGGTACAGAAAAGTGAAGGACCATGTCTAAGAACTCTCTGGTAATAAATTGCTTCCATAATAAGGAACAGATGTGGGATTAGAAGCCAAATATTCTGATTTCTTTGTTGTAGAGGAGAAAAATTATGGAAAGAAGCCCCTTTGGGAGTTATAAGGGATGGAATTTAGGAGTACAGCTGATTTCCTTGCTTTTGGCCTTTTTTCCACTTCCCAATGCATCTTATTGTTACAATAGTCTGAACACAATTTGGAGTCAGCGAACCGGAGTTCAAATATCAGCTCCTTTACCTACTACTTGTATAACTTTTGGTGAAAGTGACTTTCCATCTCTGGGTTCAGTTTCCTCATCTGAAATGAGGAGATTGGCTTACAGATCTCTGAGGTCCTTTCTAGCTGTAAAAACTAGGTTCCATGAAATCGAAATTCTCCAGGGTCCTTGTAATCCAGGTTCCTTCCAAACAGTTGCCTTACTGTGTCTTTTCAGGCTTATCTGCCATTGCTTTTCAACAAGGTCCTTCCACTTTAGCCCCACCTATCTTAACAGTTTCTGCAGGTGCAAATCTTTTTCCTTTCTGTTCTCCTGTGGTTCCCCTTCTGTGGAATTTCCCCTGTTCTTTTTTTTTTTTTTAAATGGTGATTTTTATTTATTTTTTGTTTTCAACATTTACTTCCACAAGATTTTGAGTTCCAAATTTTCACCCCATCTCACCCCTCCCCCCACACCAAGATGTCATGCATTCTAAATACCCCTTCCCCTAGTCTGCCTTCCCTTCTATCTCTTCCCTCCTTCTCTTATCCCCTTCCCCTTCAATTTTCCTGTAGGGCAAGATGGATTTCTGTACCACATTTCCTGTATTTCTTATCTGTCAGTTGCATGTGAACATTTTTTTTAAACATGTATTTTTAAAACTTTGGGTTCCAAATTTTCTCCCTTCC